CCGGTGGCTCCACTACCCATAAAGCCCTTCTCGTTACTACCCAAAACCAATTATAACCTCTAGTTACTACTTAAAACCAGCAACACCATGACCAGCTATAACCTCCCATTATTCAATAAAACTAGCGAGCACCATAAGTAGTCGTAACCTCCTATTCCAGCTCAACGGAAAATCATACTAGTAGCACTATAACTAGTTACAACCTCCACCCAAGGGTCCTTCGCAACCAACCTCTCCCATTCACTTTTTGGCCAAGTAAACACCTATCACTATAGCTTCAATCTTCGATAGAATATAACCAAAAAAAAACAAAAAAAACAAAATGGGTGCTTGTTTGGTTGTTGACAATAAACAGGAGTTTGGTTAAATTGTTAGATATAAAAGAATAACAAAAACATTAAAAAAATTATTGTTTGAATTGTTTAGTTTGCATTAACAACATGATATTATAGACTATATTCTTTGATTTGTTTTTGGTAGAAATAATAGGACATTATAGGTGATAACCCCATTCGTTGCCAAGCCCCCTCGATAGCAAAAACTTTGACAATGACAATAACTTTGACAATCATTAGTAGTAACTTTTGACAACCAATAGTAATAGTTACTATAGTCTTTGGCCACCATAAATGGAGCCACCAAATTAGCATCCACCTTAGTGAAACCTATATGATATCTTGATAATGGAAAGAAGCTCTCTTTTTTCAACTAATAAAACAACCAGTTTCCATTGAAAAAGAAAAGAGTAGAATTAACCCCAAACGAAATTTTTGGATAATGTTAGTATTTTTCAATTTACTTTGGTAAACACAAAATTTGTATCCATTTAATGTTATTAATTAAACTACTTTATCTTATAAAAATGTAATATTGCTTTGCTTGTGATTTGTTAAGGAATTCGAAGTATGTTTAGATATACCATTATGTATAGAACCAAAAGGGCTAGAGACCTCGGGTACCTTAAGGTGAAACAAATAGATTATTTAATTCTATGAGATGGAGTTGGAAAGATGAGCTTAGGTTTTAAATTTCAATAGTAGATTCGAGATAAATATTGGTCTCGGTGTTTGTATATTTACTTGATGTTATTGGTTGTATTGATTTGATATGTTTGATTTTGATACGCTAAATGTGTAATATACATTTCTAATGTATGTTATATTGACTTCTAATTGCTAAAATGAATTTGTTAGTGGCTTTCCACTTATGCGATGAAGGCTGCTAGTGGTTTTAAAGTCATTCTACATGTTTTCTTTTCCTAAAAAAGGAGGCCATCCGTGGCTTTCCACTTATATAGACGAAGTAGCCGATGGTCTCAAACTATTTTTATTTAATTTCTAATTACTAAAATGAAGTCTTTGGTGGCTTCTCACTTATGTGAGAAAGCTATTAGTGGTTTTGAAATCATTCTACATGTTTTCTCGCTCATTAGAAAAAAGGCCATCGGTGGCTTCCCATCTATATGGACAAAGCCGTCGGTGGCTCTCAAATCATTTTTATTTGATTTTTGATCATTGAAATGAAGCTATTGGTGACTTCCCACTTATGTAATGAAGCCATTAGTGGTTTTGAAGTCATTTTACTTAGGTTCTCGCTCATTTGAAACGAAGTCATTTGTGACTTTCTACCTATATGAATGAAGTCTGCTTGTGGTTTTCAAATCTGTTTTTATTAAATGATTTACGTTATGAGCTTGAATCATGAGAGACTCACCTATTTTATTCCGTCAAATGATTTATGCTATGGACTTGAGTCACGAGAGATCGAATACTTTTATTCTATCAAATGATTTACGTTATGGACTTGAGTTATGAGAGGTTTACCTATTTTATTATGTCAAATGATTTATGTTGTGAGCTTAAGTTACAAGAGACTTGTCACTTTTATTTTGTCAAATGATTTCTATTATCGGCTTGAGTCATAAGAGACTCGCTTATTTTATTTTGTCAAATGATTTCTATTATAAGCTTGAGTCATAAGAGACTCGCCTACTTTATTTTGTCAAATGATTTCTATTGTGGGTTTGATTCATAAGAGACTCGCTATTTGAATTTTTGTCAAATGATTTCTATCATGGGATGCGATCGAAAGAGACTCGCTATTTTTATTCTATTTAAATGATTTTTCTTTTTCTTTTTTTTGTTGTTGGTGACATTCACTTATATGAATAGAGTCACTAGCGACCCCCTATCTCTTTACTTGTGTGAATAGAAATTGTCAAATGACTTTCTATTTATATAAACGAAACTGTTGGTGGTTTCTTAATTATATCAATATGGCTCATAATTCTAAGAGACTTATTTATTTTCAATACATGTTTGTAGTCACTAGGGTTTTAGCCTAAATCTCAATTCTTATCCACCTTTTTCCTTTTGAGTATGGGTATTGGCCTTGTACTAACTTGAACCCAAATCACCTTACTACTCCATTTTGATAAAATAAATTTACTCAAAGAGGCATAAAAATATTACATAATAAAAATAAATTTTCTTATTTTTGCATGCATTCAATGCGACTTACCATAGGTAAGATGGGATGACGATAATATTATATCTTCTCCATACGTAACCGATCCTTTTCCTAAATATCGATAATGTTATATCTTCTTCATATATAATCAATCATTTTCCTATATACCTATGCGGACTAATTTGTTTAGGGTTTTCTAGTTCTTCTCGATTAGCTAGGTAATGACTCCATCTTTCGAGCCTTCCCGTGAGCCCTAGTCTAAATCTCAATTCTTATCCACCTTTTTCCTTTTGAGTATGGGTATTGGCCTTGTATCGACTTGAACCCAAATCACCTTACTACTCCATTTTGATAAAATAAATTTACTCAAATAGGCATAAAAATATTACATAATAAAAATAAATTTTCTTATTTTTGCATGCATTCAATGCGACTTACCTTAGGTAGGATGGGATGACGGTAATATTATATCTTCTCCATACGTAACCGATCATTTTCCTAAATATCGATAATGTTATATCTTCTCCATACATAATCAATCATTTTCCTATATACCTATGCGGACTAATTTGTTTAGGGTTTTCTAGTTCTTCTCGATTAGCTAGGTAATGACTCCATCTTTCGAGCCTTCCCGTGAGCCCTATTCGACAAACCTAAAAAATATTTTTATACAAACATTAAATATATCACTATCCTATGGTGTATTATTAATTTTGTATTGAAACTATTTTTTGTATTAATTTACATTAAATTATTTTAATTTTTTCAATTAAAGACTTTTGTTCACTTAACAAAAAATATTATGTTTTTTTTTACAAAACGATGTCATTTTTTTAAAAAATATCATTTGAATGAAAATATGAAGGAAAAGCCTTGAAATGAATGGAAGTCTATAATTGAGAATTTTTAAAATTTTGATGGTACAATTGACACTAAATATTATTTAGAGGTAATACTAAGACTACGGGGAGCAATATTTGGTTTAAATCCAAAAAAAGAATCGAAAAATCACTTTAGTTTTCTAAATTAAAAAGAAGAGTGGAATTTTTTTTGGTTTTGGTTTGATTTTTAAAATTTTTTATTCGCTTTTCATTGAAAACATATATATATATATATATATATATATATATATATATATAACATTTGAACTTTGATAGTTCATTTTACAACATGTTTGAATAATTAATGATTTTTTTTTATCATGATATATTTTAGATGTAGATTAGAAGATTTGAATTTAAATTTTAATACTTTGTTATGTGGTATGACTTTATGCTTTAGTTTTATTTAAATACATATTTATTGTCTTTTATATAAGCTAATTTAGATTATGTGAATTATAGGAATGACTCCATACTTCATAACATAATATTTTTGGATTATTTACATTATTTTAAAAAATTAAAAATTTGATTTTTTTGAAATTTAATTTTTCTGTTTGGATTCGGTTAAACGAAAATCGAACCAATACATTAAAAACCAAACTAAAAACCAAAATAATCCCTCTTAATTTAGGCTATTTATATGGTTAGGTTATGTTTTTTTATGTTTGCCCAAAATTCTTGAACAACTTGGACTTCTCTACGTCATGGTAAAATGCCCTGAATCTGTCTCATTTTTTTTTATTTAAATAAATTACAAGTTTATGACGGAAAAACGTATGTAGGCCCACTAGAAAATTGAAAGGAAAAGGCAAAAAAAAATAGTAGTGCTACTGAAATGCTAAAATTCTTCATATTTGTGATTCGCCACGTGTTCTAGTAAAATGCAAACACTCTTATTGAAAATCCCATAAATAAATAAAAAAAACATAAGCAATAGAATAAAAACATTTAATTTCAAAATGAAAATAACAAGAAGAGGCGCACACACACTCAGATGGTGCATTTTACCTGTAAAACCAGAATGATCAACGAAAATCCATTTCAGATAAGCTCAATAACAATTGAAATCTCGCTCCTGTTGGGTTTCAAATCTCATTTTCGGAGGCAATCCCATCTCTAAAACTCTTTTCTCGGGGTATTTAAAGTTCTCTCCTTTTTGTTTCTATTTTTGTTGTTTTGTTGGCTAATGTAGGTTCTTTTTGTCGATGTTTAGGTTTTGTTTTGTCTAGTTTGGTATCAGAATTCTATCGTGAATCAGTTTCTCATGGAATTCCGTTGATTGGATTTATAAGGACAGAGAGTATGTAGGTAATTATAGAATTCCATTTTATCCCTAGAAATTTTAATAGGTTATCATTGCATTTGGGTTTTGAGGGATTTGATTTTTCAGTAAAATTTAAAAACTGGGTTTGTTTTGTAGGTGTAGTTTGTTGGCGAGTTATGTGATTTAGACCCTGATTTTGAGGAAACAGAGTTTTTGTTTTTGTGGGGGATTTTGATTTGGCATTGCATAAAACATAGAGAAAACGAGAGGGGAAGTGGAGTTGTCGTGTTAAAAAATCGGGGTTTTTTGTTTTTGAGAGAGAATGATTTTTATAGGAGAAAAGGTGACACGAGAAGTAGAGGCATTGTAGGTCCAGAGGTACAATGAATGGAGTGTCATTAGGTCAAAGGGGGAGTTATGGATCATTGCCTTGCTACGGAAAATTATCAAATTTTGCGCGAAAACCATCTCCGAAAATGCTGCCAGTGAGCTCAAGGGACAAGGAGCGGGTTCTCCTGGTTGTTTGCCGGTGTTTGGGGCGTAGAAGAGTTGCAATGCTGCTTTTGGTTGCACTTGCTCTCCTAGTTTTCATTTGGGGTTCCTTTACAGTTAGCAAAGGTATGGCTCCAAACATGTCTCCTTTTCCTATGTTGTAAAATGTTTGAGTGATTTAGGTAATCAGTTGTTGTAGCTGTAGTTATATTTTGGTACTGATTGTAATAAGTTACAGGAGGAGGAAAGTTTTCTGATTACAAGGAAATAATCACTTAACAATTGAATAGTTTAGGCACCTATTTATTAGTTCAGGTTGTCTATTCTATATTTAACAGCAAAGATAAAATATAGTAGTTTTTAGTTGGAATGTTTTAACTCTATGAGCATCTTTTAATTTTTCCTGTTGTTTGAACTGGAATGTTAAAAGGCATGTATTGTTCATGTCTTGAGACCAGTTGTATCATGCAGAAAAGAGGGGAAAAAAAGTAGAAGAAACAAGAAATAAAGAGGAGGTACTACATGAATTTTGTTCCCCCACAAGAGTGGCCATAATCGAGTTATGGCCTTGTTGCTATAAGTTCTCATTCTATGCTAGACCCTTGACAGGAAAGCTGACAACCAAAGACTCTCTTTTCTTCTTCTTCTTCTTCTTCTTCTCTCCTATTTTAAATCTTGAATGGAAAGATACAACGTCAAAGTTGTCTTCTTGAATTTAAAACAGGAGACAATCAATTGATTACAAATATCGATCAGATTGAAAGATTCTGTTATCAAGTTATTCTTCTGCATTTAATTAATACATCAAAGTCCTGAAATACTTGGGATTTTTACTGCTCTTTGTTTTGCTTTAGATTTAGTCGAGGCAATAACTAATGTGCATTTTGTGTTATGGATGCACCAGAAACCACAAGTCCAACTGTTAGACCAACGGATAGTATACATTTTGACAACAATGATATAGTAAGCCATCATTCCATTGTTTGTCGCTCTAGAGTTAATAGTACATTGGACCATCCATGCCACAAGTTTGCTCTCCCTCCTCCCCCTCCTTCTGGTGGACGACGGATTGGACCACGCCGTAAGTTTTGAGTTATTTTGGTTGAAGTGTTTGTTATTTTCTTGTTTTTATGATCATTCTATTATTAATATATTGGACTGGACCATAAGTTTGAGTTGCTACTGTTCTATGCATTCCTTTGGAAGTAAAAAAGGTCTGGCCTGAATGTACTAAAAGTCATGTATATAATTTTTCTCCAACCAAGAATGTGCTCATCACATTCTGTAACAGAGAAAAATGGCATTTTTTGCAATTAATGTTATTATCTTCCTCATGATTGTTTGCTAAAGAGGACCTACTTGTTTGCTTGCTTGTAAATTGATACAAAATAATCCTGAATACCTTTGTATAAATTATGCCAAAATCTATACTTTTAGTTGAATTGAAATATGCTCACATCTAATTTATTTCCTGTTGCTGTGATATTTATTTTGTTGTTGCACATTTGTTACGCAGCGTGTCCAGTATGTTACATTTCTGCAGAGCAAGCTAGATCTAGCATACCATGCTTTCCATCTGCATCGCCATTGCTTCGCAACTTGAAATATGTTGTTGATGAAAACCCGATTAAAATTGAATCACATGGAGGTTCATACTTTGGTGGATATCCTTCTCTAAAGCAGAGGAATGAATCTTTTGATATAAAAGAGTCGATGACAGTGCACTGTGGGTAGGAGTCCTTCTCACCTATCATCTTTCTGTAAAATTATAAGCATTGAAGACACTGTCTTGAATGAATCTCATGATCTATGTCCTCCATTATTCTACAATGTCCTGTAACAAATACGAATCATTTATTTCTTTTAAACACATTTAATTTTTCTGCTGGCCGTACTTTTTTAATCAGATTTGTTAAAGGAAATAGGCCTGGTCGCCTGACAGGATTTGATATTGATGAAGCTGACCTGCTGAAATTGGAAGAGTCCCATGAGGTCATTGTTGCATCAGCCATATTTGGTACTGTTGTGCACTAGACATTATGCAAAGCTTTCATGTTTTATGCATGTTTTCTACTTTCCTCATCATTGTATTTTCCAGGGAACTATGACATAATACAACAGCCCAAGAACATTAGTGAAGCAGCTGGGAAAAATGTTCCTTTTTATATGTTTATTGATGAAGAGACAGAAACATATTTGAAGAATTCCAGCGCCCTAGATAGCAATATGAGGATCGGACTGTGGAGGATTATTGTTGTCCACAACATTCCTTACACTGATGCAAGACGTAATGGAAAGGTCTGTTTGCCTTTTTTTGGTTGCACTGCCCACTTCTTTCAGATTTCTCTTTCTTTTATTTCCTTGGGCATTAAACCTGGCCGAGATTACATCACACTGTCTCCTTGATTTTTTTTCTTTCTCTTGTTCTCCTGCTTCTCTGTTAACTCATTGAAAATGAAGCTATCAGTTTGTTAACAAATTTCTGTTTATCTCGTGGCAAGTCTGCAAGAAATTTCAATTTCAGTGCTAATCCTAGCATGACAGAATTTCTTGAATGCATTTCTGTTGATAGATTAATTAAAAGATTTTCCATTTTCTTTTGTTTTCAGTTTTTGTTGTGGGCTATTATAGTTCCTTGTCCTTCAAGTCATTTTCTTTTTGATTACAGAAACCTAAAGTGTTACTGCAATAAGTGATGGATGCTGTTGTTGTGTTATGTAAATGGACAGGTTCCAAAGCTTTTATTGCATAGGCTCTTGCCTAATGTTAGATATTCCATATGGATAGACGGAAAGCTCCAGCTTGTCATGGATCCGTATCAAGTTCTTGAGAGGTATATTGTTTATGCTTAAATTAGGTGGTCATTGAATGATTCAGATATGTAAATGGCTTGTGAATTCAGTGCATCTTTCTTTATAATTTTTTCTGGTATCTTCTAATTGAGATAAATGGAATTTTGTTGTGCCTATGTGAGTGTACTCATTTTCTTCCATTATCTGGGTCATGGTACAAAGTTCTGGTCCCACCATGTGCGTCACTGCAAAAGTTTTGAACCACAGTAAGTTTCTTTGCCTCATCAGTAGGCAATTATGGGATTCTCTCTGATTCTGGCAAAATGTATGGCAAATATAATTACAAATGTGTGCTCTTTTTATCAGCTTACTTGACAATTTTAACAATATTGTAGTGTTATTGATCATCTATATTTTCAATTAAAGCATGTCAAAACAAACTGCTTTTGTTGCTTGGAACCAGGGAAGGTCATCTTTTTATTGGTTTACAGTAACTCATGTTTTGGCAATGTGTTCTGGATATGTTGAGTCATCTTAAGGCAGTCTTTTTGGCGTAAGCATTTATCACATAGATCTTCATGTGTATTGCATTTCGGGCATTTAGAAGCAGGGAAAATTGGTAGATTTGATTTTAGAATAATTGCATAACCCGTATGTGTTTTAATCATATACCTTAGCTATCCTTTGGTTCAGATTCTTATGGCAGCAAAATGCCAGTTTTGCAATCTCAAGACACTACCGTCGTTTTGATGTGTTTGAAGAGGCTGAAGCAAACAAAGCTGCAGGGAAGTATGACAATTCCTCCATTGATTACCAGATTGAATTTTATAAAAAGGAGGGTTTATCGCCATACTCCAAGGCTAAGCTTCCAATCACCAGTGGTATGTGTATAATCCTATGTGTGTGTGTGTGCACACTTCATGTCCTTGAAGATTTGTATTTCTTGTGTTTTCTGCTCAATGATTCAGGTTCTTGAAGATCTGTATTTCTTATGTTTTCTGCGCAATGACTGACCTTGTGCAGATGTTCCTGAAGGTTGTGTTATCATAAGGGAACATATTCCCATCACAAATCTGTTTACCTGCCTGTGGTTCAATGAAGTTGATCGGTTTACTGCCAGGGATCAGTTAAGCTTTTCCACAGTGAGGGATAAATTAATGGCTAAAGTTGATTGGAGCATCAACATGTTTTTGGATTGTGAGAGGCGTAATTTTGTGATTCAGGTACATGTTTATGTATTGTCTTTCAATTGTTAGAGGAGATGAAACCTGTGCATCTAAAAGTAAGCAATTTGTTATTGGTCTGCTCTAAAATAACCTCATAAGTGAACTTTTCTTATGAAGTTTGTCAAAAGATTTGAATGCCTTTAACTGTATTATCATATTATGTTATATGTATATATTCGTGTTTAAACACTGAGCAGCACCTCTTTCCTCTTCGAAAGTGGAAAGTATCACAATTTGTTGTTGGTCTGCTCTATGTTGCCTGTTTGTCTTCTTTATCTTTTCTCATAATACAGGAATGTCATTCCCTTATACTTTCTTCCCTGTTGCCCAAATAGCAAGGAGTTGGGTGCATCATTTATATGTGATTTTCTTGCAACTAAATGGATCTTCTGACAACATTGTATTGGGCAAAGCTGTCTAGCTACTATTTTACAGTGCATGAAGTTTACCTCTATGGGTCTCTTTGATCTTTTTTCAAGTTTCTGATCTTCTAAGTCTGTCTTTGGGCATTTAATGCAGTTACTCCATTCATTTTATCTTCTCCTCCATAAAAGTAGCATTGGAGGCTAAAATCCATCCTGGGAGTGCAGCTAGTATTGGAGAATGGTGCTTTGACCAAATGATGCTAAAAGCAGGAACTATCTTATTAAATCTTTAATTTGTAGTATGCCTATCAAATATAAAAATCTTTAATGGGGATAATTAACTTGAACTTAAAAAATAAATATATTTATGCCTTGGGCTGCTAAGTGCTACTATTGATTTCTCATAACAAAATGCCTACTGTTTTATGGTTATTTTTATGCCCAGCAGTTAATTTTTCTTTTGACTTGCAGGCTTACCACAAAGATCTATTGGACCACATGCCACCTCCAGTAGCTCCCATCATTAGACATCCGCCACCTTTGCATCGTGATAGTTTAGCTGGGAGGAACACAGGTAAAAATTCAAGGCGTGGAAGAGATAGGAGATCTGGTTCAAGGCAACACCGCAAGGCTGCTGCAGGTAACAGAGAGAAACAAGCCTTTTTGTAGGAGGTAAATGTAGGGTTTTTATTTTTGATTTTTTTTCTGTTATACAGCACCGGGAAGATGGATTTGGTTAGAAGTATTAGTATTTAGAATGACCCCAAAGCAAAAGCAACTCAAATTTTGTTTGGAAATTGTTGATATCTCATATTCTTTCATTGTTGTAAATACTTCATACCAAATAAGCTCCATACCAGCTGCAAGCATTGATTTCATCATGATTTTTTTTGTCTTGGTGCATGAGAATCGCTTGTGTATCTTGAAAATGTCCAGCTTTCATATTTGATGCAAGGCGTAATGCATTGTCCAATTAAAGAAATGGAAGATATACAGTGTTTCCTTCATACAAGTGCTATCTTGAGTAGGAAACGACTATTCTTTGTTCCTTGGTTTGTTCATCTTCTTTTGTGAGCTATTAAGATCCACTTCTTATTCTGCTTTCCTAAGGTCGAATCTGATCTCTCTCCTTCATGAGTTCTCATGAGGTAATGGAATGAACTGTTCAATTTTAGGGCATTTGTAAGAAGGGAAATTTTTAGTGCTTTCAGGCCTACGGAATATTGCTGGAAGATTTCCGAACTGGCACTCAATACACGCTCTTAATACCCGAACTGAAATTGGGAATAAGAAAAGGATAGAAGAGATTACCAACTGCATTTGGTCTCATATATGTTGAATCTCATATTTCTCCACATTTATCGAGTTCTCACAGAAAGACAAGTACAGGGAACTGAAAATAGGAGGATGGTTTTATTTCAACCTTCAACCCTTAGGCATAGCTTCCAATGGCTCGTAACAGGAAAGGATCTAACAGCAGAGGAGAGGCCTGTCAGCAAAATATCAGCTCTCAGTGGTTTTCTTTTTCCTATCAAAGCAAATTAATAATTGTGTTGAATCAAACATACAATTATACAATAACGTACACCTGCAAAATCTTACAGCTGTATTTGATGCCTAGCCATGATGGCTTCTTCTTCATGATGATAATATAATAATGTGATCGTCATTCGGTTTTCGGACAGAACAAAGCATTACAGCTGGTGATATGGTAAAATGCTCTACTTTGCACTTTGGATCCATTTTTTCAAATGCAAGTTGAGATACCGAAAGCGCTTTTGACAATTAAAAGCAACATCAAGTTTTAACAAGTTGAAGTTAAACTATAAAGGTTTCAAGACATTTGATGCCGGTTTTAGGTTAATTATCACTCAATCTTGCATTTGATAAGTTCACTTTATAAAAAAATTTTTTATTCGACGGTACTAATTTATACATTAATCAAAACTATATCTCTCTATTGAATAGTTTTAAAAGCAGAAATAATGTAAAGTGTCAAAACTATATCTTCAGTTTAACATTGTTTTTGTTAGTACTTTTTGTTTTTTCAGAAGATATGAAAGAATCTGCTGTATCAATAGATTTTGGATAGACGATACATCAAAATTGATGTTGAAGTTAATAAATTAAATAATTTGTTATGATTAGCCAAACATACTTTCTCAATTAAGGCAATTATAGAAGTCATTTTGGGCAGATAATTAGTCAAGAAACCAATAAAAAAATCCAAAGGGATCATCCAACTTCAGGGATTTCATTCAACGAAGAAAGATGATATGAACCTGACCTACATGACCACACCTTGATTCCAACTTCCAAAAAGCAAAAACATCCAAATTCCAAAAGAACTTATCTTTACATTGAAAAAAGTAGCTCATTCTATGAAAGAAAAATATCTAAAAATAATTAGAAGATAGAGTGCAGACCCATGAGCATGTGACCCACAAATGTTGAATTGCTCAGCACAAGAAGCAAAGGAAGTCATGAATAAAATAAGGCATTTTGTGCAAGGAGGAAAGGTATGGTGTGGAATTATTGAGAGGAAGAAATCTCTAAGCCACTTAAGGAATATAAATCATCAAAATATTGCTCTCTCTATCATCTATCTGTCCAAATCTACATACCTTATTAAAATAAGAGTAAGAGTGAGCCCACAAAATTATATCCATTATTTAGGCTGAATTATAGGCTCATAGGACCCGAAAATGTCACATCCAGATCAGCACCAAAAATTTCTCTTTTAGAACCTCTCCATTACAGTTTCATTTCCCTTCCATTTCTTTACAGCTCTAGGGTTTTGGGATGCAAAAGGGTTTCTTGGATCTCTCTCTTTCTACCTACAAGTGGAATTTAAGGTTAGGATTCTAAAGTCTTTTCTTGTTGGATTGATGGGGTCTTATTTTGAAAATTGAGGTGGGGTTTATGTGGGTTTTTCTTGTTTGATACACACTAATTCAAGATTTGTTTTTTGTTCTAATTTGCGGGGAGATCAGAATATAGTCTTGATTAATGGGTTTATCTTGGCTCGTTGAGTCTTGGGTTGCTATAAAATTCTGGGCTTTAAATCTTTATCAATGATTCAACCTTCTTTCTTGAGCATCACACCTTTAAATGAAATAGGTTTGCGGGCTCTTTCAATAAGGTTCACGTTACTGTTTTCTTGTGCTGTACATTGAGAGCTATGGTTTAAAGGCCCGTTCTTTTTGTGTTGAGCCATTGTTTCTCACAGAGTTAAAGAAAGGCGAGGAGAAAGGAGTTCCCTTTAGTACTTGATTAAATGGGATCATCTGGTTTCTTTCTTATATGTATGCTTCATTCTGTGATAGCTCTAACTTGTGGAGCTTTAATGATGTTTTACACAAATGAGGTCACTGTGTTTGGTCATGGCATTGAAATAGCGACAAAGCTTAAAGGTTCAACACCACATGACCAGCTGTTGATCCAAACCTCTGATTCCTTTTCTGGGTTGCTTTTATTTGCCATTGGGTTCCTTTTGTTCATGGTGGCATTTGTTAAGGACAGAGAGTTCCAGAGTTTCTTTTCTAAAGGTTGTGTCTTGCTCCATGTTTCAATGGCTTTTTGGAGAGTTTACTTTGAGAGGAAGCTTGAAGATCTGGCTCATGATTTGCCTAGACTAGTTGTTGGTGATATTGCATTGGCTCTTTCTTGGGTTTTCTTTCTTGTTTACTCATGGAGAGAGAAGTATGATTAGCAAGCTACCATTGTCAGATGGTCCATCAGTGAATAAATTTGAGGTGATGTTGGTGTAGATTTCTGGGTTCCCCAAATGGGGTGTCTTTCTTCTTAGCTGTGTTCTATAAATTAGAGGGGGAATCTGAAACTTAAAAGAAATGGAGGCAAAGCAGGGACCAGATTCTTGTAGACTGTGTTTTAAATTCTAGATTGAATCCTGAACATGCTTGGATTCCAAGAAAAGTTGAAGATGGGATCTGGGGTTTGCCATGTTGTTTTTAATTGAGAATCTTCAAGTTGAGAAGTTTCTTGCTCGTTCTGTTGTGCCTCTGTTGGCTTCTTATGTTGATCTTCCATGTAATTTGCAAATCAATTTATTCAAATAGATGTTGATGCTTAGAAAATGAATCCCGGAAAAAGTGTACTTGTTTGCTGCTGTCTCTTATTTTCTTCTTGGCAATCTTGCTTGCATTTTTTCAAGTCTTTCTGATATACTGAGATTGGGATGTGTATGTATCTGGCAATCTGCAGCTTTAGTTTGGGACAAATCTGGTATGCAACTATGCCACCCAAGCTTAAGACATTTGATTATGCTAAACAATCCAAGGGAAGAACAGTTATTAGACCTACAATGTCAAATTAATCAAACCGCGAATGGTTAAATGGAATTGCACTAACTTTTATTTATTTATTTTGTGATGTAAATTTGGGGTATTGTTTTGGACTTTTCATAGCAGTTTTCTTGTCAAATCACCAAGTTTATCCAAAACAAAAAGTGTTAAAAATTTAAGCTATTAGGGGGATTATAATACATTTGCATCAAAGACTGAAGTGAAACCATTTTGGCAATGTGATAAACAAAAGGTTTTCATATCAAATATATGAAATTGCCAAACACACCCCCGCCCCCCCCCCCCCCCCCCCAACCCAAAAAAAAAAAAAAAAAAAGGATGATTTTTGCCACTAAACCCCTTTCTTTCTCAAGAGAAACCATTTTTGGAGAAACTGAAACAACTAGTTTTTCTATTAAGAAACGTGGTTTTTATTGTTTATGAACTAACACCTACTTCTTCTCATATATAAATAAATTTCCTTTGCCTTCTCTCTCTATCAAAAAATGTTATTTTAGTATCCATTCAAATCAAATTCATTCACTTAATTCATCTCTGAAGTGTACTAAAAAAAAACAGGCAATTGTTTGTTTGAAGCCATGTTGGCAAGAAGGTAAGTACAAAAGGGTCTTTGACATCAATTGGAGAAAATCACAAGTTTTATTTTGATGGCTTCCTTTAAATGCAGCAAATAGAGATGAATTAGGTGGAGTCCCATGAGATTGGTCCGAAGAAGAACCTGAAGGCATGCAATAGAACAGGGATGGTGATGGATGAGATACCTAGTCCATTAAGTCAATCACATAATTCATCCTATCTACATCCCTCATGTCATGCTCAGTCTACACCTTTTTATCCACTTTCTTTTTATCCTTTTCATAAAGAGAACAATGTGTCTAGTAAATCAAACTTTAAAATATAACATGTTATTCAAATATATAGATTCTCAAGAAAATTGATATTATTTGATTGATGATCATAAAAGAAAAGTTCTAATTTTTAGTACTGCCCTTGAATTTTTACGATGGTTAAACCTACAACTATCCGTTTTTTGTTAAGCCTGAAATTATTTGCATTTAAAGCCAATAATAGATTACATAACAAATAAATATGATATTGGTATGAATATGGTATTGGTAAAGCCAATAATAGATCATCGATCACCTTTGAATGTCCTATATAAATCTTATTTCCTTGACCTTATCACATTTCGTCTACTTTATTCTCAATATGAGAAAATAAATCTATTGTATTTGAAATATCCACATAAACACAACACAAATAATAATAAAAAATATATATATAATTCAAAAAAGAAAAAAGTTTGCGGTTGTTGTTGGACCAAGAAGCCCCGGCCCACGACTGCCACAGCATCTAGTCTAGGATCCGTTTCTTAGCTTCTCTCTTCAAAGTTTCTGGCATTCAACGACAACATAAACCCTACGAAGCTCCAACTCCTGAAACCTTTCACTTCTCTTTGCAAAAATTCTAAAGGTAACTTCTTCTTCTCTTTTGATCTCTTTGTTTATGTATCTTTATCTGTTACTTTATTGCTTTCTATGTTGTAGATGGTCTCTTGTGGTTTAATGTTTTGCTTTGTTTGTTGTTTCTTTAGTTGGGTAAACTTTCTTTTTTTTTTTTCAGAATTTTTATATACGTTTTTTGTTTTCCTTAATTCTAATTGTTATGTGTAAAACTGATTCAAATCTCAAATGGGTTTTGAGTCAAGAATGCAAATTTGTAATGGAAAATAATTATAATTGGTGTCATAAATTAACTTTTGTTTATGGGGGATTTTTGTGTTCAGTTTTCAATATGTAGGTTCAGTTTTAAAGAAGATATTGTAGTTTTCTATAAAGTTAAGAAATTGAGAACATAATAGACAGAATCGTTCAATGATATTAAAAGGATGATCAAGCGGGGGTTGTTAGAGAAAAAAGTTGGATTTTTACTTGAGGTGAATGGATATTTTTTTCCCCTTCTTTTTAAAGTTTGGCGTCTTGAAGTTACTGATTTGGGAACTGATCATGCTGTTAATTCTGAACATGGTTGAAGCACAGTTTTGAACTTGCCAGAGTTGCTAAATTCTATTTCTTGATTTTTGGTGTATAGTTAGTCATAACTCATAACTGGTTGGAAAATGATTTCCTTGTTAACAATTCAGTTGTATATTGCATAGAGTACTGCTATATAACTTGAATATATGGTAATGAAAAGTTCACATACAGATACAGTGGCAAGGGAAGTGATTCTATTCAACTTTTGGGTTTTTTGTTATCTGTCTGTGTGTGTCCTATTCATTACAAAACATTCATGTTAGACAGCTTTATTCAATTGTATAAGTAAGAAGCTTAGTTGAGTCAAGTTGCTTCCTTGATTTACAAAGGAATGGGTTGTCTTTTTAGAAGTGATTCTCTCTTTCCATGAACCTATGATCATTAGGAGCTCTGATACAATAAGAAATACCAGGCATTTGGTCCAACCTTTATGCCCTTTGCCATTGTGTCTGTCCAATGTCTGAATTTTATGTGTAATTAAGATTGTATGCCCTTTGACATTAGGTGTAATTAAGATTTTGGCTACATTACTTCTCACGACTTTCAAAAGTAGTTTCATTGTTTGATAGAATAGAATGCTGACAGATATTTTTGCCCAATGTCTGAATTTTATGTGATGAAATGGGAAGATGAACAAAAATAGTTCATTTTGTTGATTTGCCATGTGGGATACAAGTTTATGGTATAGGCAGTATTTGAAGTTGTTTGACGGAGTCAGATATTGAGCTGAATTGCTTGTCTATGAGAAACTTTACTACTGAATTGTATGACTGGCATTTGAAAGATGATTAAGGATTTACTATGTACTGAAAGAAAGAGTAATGCTAATCTCAAATGTTGAAGATCAGTTATTCTATAGACTATAGAGCAAATGAACACCAATTATGAATTGTTTTAGTGAAGTCGCTTCATTGGACAATATGCTGAATAAAGAATCTAGTCGTAAAAGAGAGAAGAAATTGAACTACATTTCAAATGGTCTAGTATTGTCCCTCCACTGTCTAAAGACATGATTTGATGCTTTTTTTCCTCCTCATTTTACCCTGCCTCCCTCTCTCTATTGGAAGCTGACATTATACTTTGATTTTGATGTTCTGAGTTCCTTTCTTTATGCCTGCTGTCTCCTTTACAATCCTTGTTTTTTCCTCCCCGCCGCAGATTTCTGATGGGTGGCCTACCTTTGCAAAATGCTTCACCTGCCTCAGCTGTAAGCCAGGTGGCATTAATTACAACATCAGGTCAAGAGTCAAAGCCCAAGAAGAAAATCTGCTGTGCTTGCCCTGAAACTAAGAAACTAAGAGACGAATGCATTGTGGAGCATGGTGAAACTTCTTGTGCAAAATGGATTGAGGCTCATCGACAGTGCCTTCGTGCTGAGGGCTTTAACATTTGAGATTGGTAGATCCAGTTTCATTTATTAATCAATACCAGTTTGGAACATAAAACACTTGTTTTTAGAATCACTCATACCAAATGTGAGGAATAAAGCTAGGAAACACAGTTTTTTCTTGACTTTTTCAACTTACAATCATTTCTGTTTTCTTGAATTATGATTTTTTTTCCACTCCCACAATGCGAGTTGAAAATGACAAGAATACTTGGATGACGCCATGTTAATGCGTTTGTCTCTTCTCCATTTCAGTGTTATTTTATTCTTGTTTTGAACATGTAAATTTTACAGGTAGTGGAAAGTTGTTCCTTCGATGTATTCCTAAACATGCCATCATGTCTCCCATTCGATAGATAGTGTTCTGAACTTCTTGTGATGGTTATAGACTTTGCCTTGAACTTATGCAAGCTTATATTCACATGTTAGTATTTATTCTTACAGCTAGCGGTTGCAAAAGATGCACTGAGAAGATCAAGGAAAGGTTATTGTCTGAAGATGCTTAGTCCAAGTTAGACATTCTAATGAGCTTAGTTGCAACCAAAATTAATCTTATCTGAGTTGCTTCTGATTTCTGAGTGATTATTACATCTGGGGAGATGTAATGGCTCAGAAGCAACTCGGAGAGGATAACTCTGGGTGCGACAAAGTTAGTCGGAGCATCTAACTAGGAAAATGGAAAATGAATCTTCAGACAATAACCTCTCCCCTATCTTCTCGGTTCATCTTTTGCAACCACTAATCAGATGTAATGGCTCAGAAGCAACTCGGAGAGGATAACTCTGGGTGCAACAAAGTTAGTCGGAGCATCTAACTAGGAAAATGGAAAATGAATCTTCAGACAATAACCTCTCCCCTATCTTCTCGGTTCATCTTTTGCAACCACTAATCACTGAATGCCAAGCTAGTTTTATCTTCTATGTCAATGTCGAGAACATGTTCTCCAAGTTTTTCTTTCGATCCTTTTTCGTCATCTTTTGCAATCACTTATCATTGCGTCTTATGCTAATTGTCTGTCTGTTCAGAGAACAGATTCTCCCTATTTTGCATCTTTTTTTCTGTACCTTCTTTGATGATTACTAACTATTGCCTGACATCTGTTGTGGAATCTTACACGTGTTCATTAGCTATAAAACGAAAAAAAGGTACGTAAAGATATCTGGACACGTGTGAGTCCAGAGTTAGGTGATTGCACCTCATTCCAACTGGAAGACATTTTAGGTCTATCTTTTATGCCTTTACCGTCGAATCATCTATTCCATAATTTAAAAGCTCGTACAATACATTTCTTCTCATGATTGTTTCAAAATTCTTGCTATTTTGGCAATTATTTCCTTTGTTTGTTTGGATGGATGGAATAACTTGCAGATATTTTACCAAAATCTCTGATTTTTTATGTGGTGACACAGGAAAATGGTAAAAATTCAGCCCTCTTGTTTTGTTGTTTCACTATGTTTTATATATGTAGTCAAGTTCAAGTTTATGCCGTATGGTATAGGCAGTATTTTGGTCTTGTTAGATGGAATAAGATCTTATATATGATGTATTGTTGGTTCGAGCTGTGTTACAAAGATGATTAGTTACCATGTTGTAAAACAAATTAGGACAAGAGATGTATTAATCTCAAAAGCTGATGCCAGTTGTACCAGAGAGCTAATGAAGAAAACTTTGAATTGTTTTAGTGAAGTTGATTAACAAGAAGATGCAGACTAATCTTGGTTTAGAGCACCAGTTGGTGATGAAAGAACACAGCTGAAATGCATGGTAAATGATTTAGAATTGTCAGAAAGGAGTGGGATTTAGTGCTTGCACTTTGAATTTGTTCTTTCAATTCCATTCTTGTTCCCTTGTGTTCTTAAGGGTATCTTAAGAGGAACGTCTTAGTTCGTTCTGATGGCTTTGACATTTGGGACTGGTAGATATGCTTGAGTTCATAAATCAAACTATCATATTGAGTATTTTTGAAATTTCATAGTAGTACAACAAATGTGACGAATAAAGCTAGAAAGCGCAACTTTCCTTGACTATTTCATCTGATCGATCATTTCAGTTTTTTCTTAATCCCACTAGCAATCGAAATGGCCGAAATGCATGGATGAGGCCTTCGTACTGTGTTTGTCTCATCTCTTTGCGATGCTCTATTATTCTTGTTTGTACGTATGATTTGACAGGCAGACTAAAGTACTTTTCTCTCTTGTATTCCATTCCTTCAAGATGCCATTGAAGTTTTCCGTTTGTGTATGTTTTTCTTTGTTTAATGGAGTTAAATATTGTTCTCGAGCTTTTCTTTTGATGGATATTGACCTTGACGTCGGAATTGTGCAAGTTTATCATGAGGAGATCTAATGGCTGAAAAGCAACCCAGGATGGATAATTCTGGACGCAACAAAGTTGATCTCAAAGTCTTCAGAGAGTAACCTTTCCCTTGATTTCTTCACTTCATCTTCTGCAGCCACTGATCATTGCATGCCATGCTAGCTAGTTCTATATATGTTCTTACGTCAGGATGGATAATTCTCCAAGTTACACTTTCTTTTTATCCTTTTGAGTAATTCTCTTTTGCAATCATTTATTATTGCTTAGCCATGCTATTTCTTAGAGTTCACAGATCTCAGATGATCGGATCAGATTCTTCCAATTTACCCTTTCTTTTGCTTTTGGGTTCATCTTTTACGACTACTAATTGTTGTATAACATATTACTTTTGGAGTCTTTAAATGGGTCCATTAGCTAAGAAATAATAGACGGAAACAAAAAGGAAAAGAATTCTTGACATGTTTCCGAAGAGACAGATTTGATTGCAAGAATTTCCAAATGAAAAAGAAAGAAAGGAAGCAGACAAAGAGAAGATTGTGGCTTGGGAAATTTAATCTCTCCTGAGGTGAGTTATTAAGAACCGTTCAGTGATTCATACTTGGATAATCCGGGAAAGTTGAGGAATATCAGTCTGATTGTGATTCTTTGTGATGAAGCTTTGTCTTGCTTCATGCGTCAATTTTTATGCCATTTGATCTCTCTACTGCTATTGCTTTGGTATATTAAGAGCAAATATATACAATCTCATCATGTACCGCTTGATAGGCTATGAACTCTAAATTAATCTAGTTCAACATTCTTGCTCTGCTAGTCTAGCTCTACCTTATCCATGGAGTCGTTACTAAATGATTAGAAAGCTGAGAGAAGCAGACTACTATACTGATTATAATACTTCATTAAACCACACTAAGGGCCACAGACATGGCCGTTACATAATGAAGAAGACGCAAACATAAGACGCTCGGTATTGACACTTTTGTTTCTTCACTCCATACCCACTAGTAGTATAACAGGAAGCACACAAATTATTCATCACAAATTACATTATTAGTCTGACTTCCAACCCCATGTCACACATGACGGTTTATGTGCTTAATGACCGCATGTACAGTCGGTGCAAGTGCAGCCAGTACCGCACTTGCACTTGCCATCGTTCTCGGCTGCTGGAACCTCCATGACTACAGTGGAGACATAGCTGCAAAAGAAATTAGACCTCCATTACGTTAGCATCGTATTATTCCCATGTCCTTCAAAATAAATCTGACTAACTTCAAAACTTTTCGGATAGTGCAATATCAATTATTCATTCCACTTGTTAGTGCATCCTTAAGTTTTGATCACGTTTCTCCACGCTAATGAAGACTACGACAGGGTTTTAAAGATAGTCGAGGTTATTTGTTTGTTAATTTTTTTGTTGTGCTTTGTGCAGATTCCTTGAAATGAAAAGGTACCTCTTTTCAGTCCCAACGATGTCAGCAGTGTAGCTGCTTCCCTTCTTGCTGCAAATGAATCACAAATTGCATGGCATGAGAGAGGAGCACAATATATGCACGAAAGCCATGCAAAAATATGATCAGCTAACCATATTTACATATAGCTAGCACAGCATAATATATAAACCATAAAGTTTGCAAAGTAAGAACACTCACACGCACTGGGACTTGTCAGCGCAGTCGCAGTTGTCGCAGGTGCTAGACATGGTGATTGATTGGTTAAAGCAGATGGATGAGCTGAAAGACTTGGGATATGAAAGTTTTCTTTGTGTAGCTTGTATGAGTTGCTATAGCTCCAAGCCTTGCTCTATTTATAGACCGAGAAGTGCACTGATAATGGCTGCAGTGAAGAGAAAGGGGTAACTGTCGTCGATGTGCGGTCCATGAGGATGGGATTGCTTGTGGGACCCATTAAGGCATGAGAGGAGCACACGCCTCTCGAGGAACCGACCGAAGGAATCTTGATAATGGGTAGGCCATCTTAATTTCCTCCTCTCATGTCAACTTCTTTCTCTTTTTTCTGAGAAGCTGATCTATGCAAAAATTTATATGAATCTTCTGTCATTCTTGGGAGAAGATATTAGCCCTACACTTGAAAATCGTATTAGCTAGCACTGGTTCTAAGCGCTTTCACGGTCCATTTGACAATTTCTTCCATCTTGTTTGTTTGTTTGTTGTGGTTGTAATTAATTTGACTGCCTTTTCCTTTGTCTCCTTTTTTGGCTTACAATGGAGGGATTCCATCCCACACAGTGAACCACTCCTACTGGTGGTGTTGTAAACTTGTAGTTACATTGCTTATTGGGAGTGTCTCTGTTGTATGAAATTTGTTTTGTAAAACGTACTGTTGAAGCCTGATGAACTAGGAAGATGTTCTTTGAACTGTTTGCTTTGTCCGAAAAAAGTTTTTTTTTTTTTTAAATAATATTAACATATAGCATGTAAAATTGAAAATTGAAAATATTTTCTTGCAAATATATGGGTCCTTAATGTTAAAAACAACAAAAAGTTATGGCTAAGGAGGTTGGTTCATTTGGTGTGTCGAATTCAAATGTTGGTGCGGGAATTCTGCACAATTTCAAGTATATGTGAGTGTGAAAAATTCAATGTTTTTATTAAAAACTTATTTTACATATTTCTTCTCACAGTTTATATAAACTTTTGATCGTCAAAAGAGGAGATTCCCACTCTTGTCTAGTATTGATGCCCAAAAGCAGGATTCGTTTTTAGCAAGTTCATTTGAATTATATGTTAAATATTTTATTTAAATGACCCATGACTTTTAATGGTTTAATAAATTAAGTGTTAAAATCCTATTGGTCAAGAGATATAAACAATTAATAATAAAAAGTTACCGTGATGGAACGTTATAATTTAAGATATCTTTTGAACTAAGTATTCTATCTGTTTTATAAATAGATAGTTTATTTCTATTAAATGACTATGTATGTTAAAAACTTAAGAAGCTAAGAGATAGAAATATAATTTTCTAAAGATATATAGTTCTTTTTAAATCTTTGATTGATCAATCTTCATCGTGGATAAAGGTATGTTCTCTTTTAATTTTATTTGTTACGTGAAAAATTATAAAGATCATAGGCAATAAGGCTTATGCAAGATTAAGATTTGATTTTGCATAATTATAGAATTTCTAGCATGTATCAAAACCAAAAGTTTTGAACATATAATTTTTCCAC